ACTTAAGACTCTCATTTTAAAGTATATATGGAAGTTTCACTCAAATTCAGTTTCTTGTTTTGGAAGAATACCTAAATTCAAGGAGGTACAAAACAAACATACAAATGGACATCCCTATATACCATTGCTTCAGTAGATAAGAGTAAAATAGGTTAGAAAATAAACCATCTTATTTCCATTTTTCATGATTCTCTAGTTGACTGTTTTTATTTTGTCATAAAGTAACATAAGTGTAAATCTTGTGGTACATATGTAATTTAAGTAACATAAGTGTAAATCTTGTGGTACATATGTAATTTAAGTAACAATGACTTTGTTGTACATGTAATCTAATAAAATAACAAATGATAAAATTGTTGCATTTTTTGTGCATTGACAAGATACAGAACTATGTACATGAAGATATTGTTCCCTTTTCACTCTCACCTTTTGACTTTATCCCGAATGACCCTTGTATGAAATTATGTAAATGAGGCCCCTCATTGGGGTGTCCAAGTAATCACATAATCACAATTTTTTTGCCAATATAATCAAATAATCATTAATTATTTTTTTAAACAAGATAATCAAATAATCATGAAATATTTGGTCTGGTAATCAAATAAACACTGTAAAAACAGCCAAGTAATCACATAATCAAAAACCCCATGAGGAGGCTCGTAAATCATAAGTGTACTGAAAATTACAGAGGATATATATAATATGAGCTGCAACAGATAGGAATCGACCTTATGCAAGTGCATGTATACATGTACATGTATAAGACTTTGACTGATTTTGGAACATCCAAATATGAAACAAAAGATGAATTTTAGTCTGTTTTGTAGAAATCTTATAACAACTTAATTTTCAAACAGTCACAGACTTTCACTAGAGATGTTTTCAAGCGGAAATAGGTTAACAGATGTTTTGATATTCATTTGCTTAAGGTCCATTTCTGTCTGTCGCAGCTCATGTGTAACATAGGACTGCTTTTATTTCCTTTCTCTCAAAATAATTTTTTGCTGAGTCTATTTTTTTCCTGCCAATACTAACTCTCCTCATGATACACATCATAATCTGTACATCCTTAAAAATAACATGTATATTCATACATTTTCCTACAAAATGGAAATTTAAAATAAAAAGACTAGAAACAATTATTCTGAGACACCTAGAGTTGATATTATCTCCAGTGGCACATGTACAAGTACACTCAAATGTGGGGGCTATCGTCTTTAAGTGACAAGCAAACCCAACCCAACCTTTTCTATAATTTAATAGTGTCTAGCCCCAATTGGCCCCTGGTTCCTCACAAAAGGGTTAAACAAGAGGCTGTCAGAGTGACAGCAAACTGGATTTTCCTGCAGAAGTCCAACCCTGAACAGTTGAGCAAGTATGGACACAACATTTAAGCTTAAAACAGCTCTGAATTTGGATTGTGATTGAATATTTGACACAGCAAATAGGTTTGTGACACAAAATGAATGTGGTCAAAGAACTGAAAAATTTAAAATCGGACATTTACCTATTATGGTCCAATATCCAAAATCTAACTACATTGTTAGAATCAGCATATTAAAGAACCCCCAAGAATTCAATTTTTTATGAAATCAAACAAAAGTTTAATTTAGGACCCTTTGGACCTCAATGTGGTATTATCTAATTAATAATGAAAATAAATACAGGTTTAGATTCAGCATTTCAAAGAACCCTATATATATTCAATTTATGTTGAAATCAAACACAGTATAATTTTGGACCCCGATTTGGACCAACTTGAAAACTGGGCCCAAAATCAGAAATCTAAATATAAGTTTATTAATAGACAAACTAAGCTTAGTTTATAAAGGAGTTTGCTTCATCAAAAAAATATATATATAAAGCATTCAGAAAATTAGTTTATACAGAATAACAAACAAACCTACCACAAAATTCTTCAAACAATTTACCAAAGAAAAGGAAGAAAGAAATGTGGATAGTGTCCACATGTGGACACAGATGATGCACCCGCTTGCATATCATATAGTTATAAAGGGACATAACTGAAGAACGGTAAGTGACGATACCCAAATTTGATCTTGATCTGAGTTTTGTGGTAATAAGCATTGTGTGCAAGTCTCATAACATTTGGTTGAGGCTAACTTCAGTAGAGAACAGAAACTTAAAATTCAGCAATTTTTCTATTTGTAAACACACATAACTCTAGAACAGGTGTGTATAAGTTTTATAACATTTGGTTGAGACAAACTAAAGTAAGAGAACAGAAATGAAAAATTCAGCAATTTTTATGTTTATAAAGGGACACAACTTAAGAATGGTAAAAGTGTTGCCACCAAATTTCGTACTTAATCTGTATTATGTAGTAATAAGCATTGTGTATAAGTTTCATATCATTTAGTGAGGCACTAAAGTTAGAAAACGGAAACCAAAAAATTGTACTTGATCTTAGTTTTGTGGTAATGAATATTGTGTATAGGTTTCATTATGTTTGGTTGGGGCAAACTTAAGTCCAATTTTAATAAATATTACTTGATATTTAGAAGTAAAAATTTTGCGATTTTTCCATTTATAAAGAGGCATAACTCTAGAATGGTTAAAGTCACGCCACCAAAATTCAAACTTGATCTGTGTTTTGTGGTAATAAGCATTGTGTATAAGTTTCATAACATTTGGTTGAGGCAAACTAAAGTTAGAGAATGGAAACAAATTTTGGGACGTAAGTACTTCTGTACGTACGTTCATTCGTACTTACATACGTACGTACAGACGGACAAGGGTAAAACTTAATGCCCCCTCCGCTACGACGGGGGCATAAAAAAATCCAAAATGTCATTTATTATTAATACAATGTCTATCAAAAATCTATAAACCTTATCTGTAATTATCTTCAAAATGTCTAATAAGGAACAGTAAAGTTCAAACTATATTTATACAGTCCTACAGATCTTATCAGCATCAACACTTCGGAAACAGAAAATTTTCCAATAAATCCGTCATTCTAATTATAATTGTGTGATGAGATATTTACCACATGCTTTGTTATCTGATAACAGGTGAAAATCATTTAAAAACACTTTGTGTAATCAAACTTTATATATAAAATTAATAGTTCCCAATATTTTTTCTTTCATTTGTCACAAACTAATATAGATCTGCAACTTATCTATCATTGTCAACATTTTTATCTACACAATGTAACGAAATGAAATATATCCTTTAATAAAAATAGATTATTATCTAATGAAAATGATATTTGCAAATCACCATTTCTGTTCAAAGGGAAATAACTCAATCATATAATATGTATAACTTTTGGCTACTAAAAGGTCTACAACTCAACAACGAGAAAATCTAAAATCTTGAAAATTCAACTTGACCTTCATTTAGTCACAGGAAACAACATATCTAAATTTGAAAAGATTTCTTCAAAGCATTTGCATGTTAATGAACAGACACTGTTTGGCAGCCGCCTGCCCGTCGTACATCCCCAAATCAATAATAGATTTTCCTTCGAAAGTCCGGTTAAAAAGTTATACAGGGAACAAATATCTTCATGTAACAAACAAATGTTTATAAATGTTATACATCATATACATAAAACATTCAATATCAGGTTATACGATAAAACATAATATCAGGTAAGACAATGGCTTGTCAGCTATAATAGGAATGATACTTAACATGTCAAATCAACAAATGTATAATTACAATCTAACCCTTGTAAATCCACAAATGATTATGACTTGAAAACCTACTGAATTTTATTTATTTTCATTTATATTCTTTCCGTATTCTTTCCGTATCAGAGGTAAACTCAAGGATTTTTAAAACAGACCTCGTCACTTTACATGCAATATTTGTTTTAATCAATTTTGAAATTAACAAGCAAATAACCCACATTAGTATTTGAAGTATATGTTTTCCTTGAATGCTATATACATACAATAATCTTGTTATAATGTATTTTACTTTTTTCATTTTGCCTCTACATATGTACCGTCAAGGATATAACTCTATAGGGTTATTAGAGAAAAATAACATACATTTGTTATTGTGGACTAAAAAATCAAAGAACTGTGATAACATATGGATGTTACATGTTTCAAAGGGACAATATACATCATTAGTTTAGTTAAAATGTATACAAGTTCTATTGATATTACTATTGTCTTTATGTATACTTAACTATAGAAAGATATAACAGTTCATAGTTTGCCAATCATGCATAGTACACCTATGTTATTACAGAAAAAATATGCCTATAATAACTTAAGGGTGTTATTACAGCTTCTCTACATCACTCCTAAGCATTTTCTCAGACATTCATCATGCTTAATTACAATGAATATTAATTTATTGTAAGAAATAATGATCAGAGCATGTAATGAGGTTCTGCCCAAGCTTCACAGTAATTCCCAAGTGTCTCATATAACAAGTTACATGCCTTTAATAACTAAGCCTTGTTATAACAGCTCAGTTTATCCCTTAAAAGCCTCGTCTCATTGATTTACCATGGTTAATGAAAAATGTATTAATTTAATTCAAAAATTAGTTATCAAGGCTATGCATTTAAGTTCTGCCCAGAGTTCCCTAGAGCCCACTAATATTCAAATCATGTATGATTTATTTTACAAATAACAAACATATGTTATTACAGATTTAGAAAATTTATGGATTAAAGAGTAGACAACTCACGAAAGTATCTGTAATAACACATACAAGTTATTTTCTGTAATAACCCTATTGAGTTATATCCCTGGCTGATGTACATGAGATATGATTCTGCACAATTCTGAGGATAAGCCTATAAGTTTATCTTGGACTATCAAAGATTGCTTTAATTGGCATGGTTGCACTCATTTCTGAATTATAACCTTATAAACTTATAGATATTCCTCATTCAAAAGAATTTGAGAGGTGCAATGTTACTCAATATTTCTCCATAAAAATCAAGTGACTAACATTGATACTTTCCTCTTTTCAATACATGTACTGTCAAAAAAACAATCCCTCACAGATAACACAGATCTTTGTTTCTTAACACTGCAATACACAAACATGATCAAAAAGAAAAAGAAAAAAAAAGAAGAAAAATACATAAAATATGTCTTCAGCAATAAAACAATTAGTGTGAATATATACATGTTATTATACAATGTAATAATGAGACAATGTTAACACAAACAAAATCATTCATTACAGCACTACATGTATCAGGACTATGACATAAATCAATATAACGTCATGGTAGCAACAAAGTAATAAATTCAGAATAAAGATTCTGAAAAGTCTACAGTCTAACACTACACTACAGTTATATAATCATTAACATAGGCTTGATTTCTTCAAAATCTGAAGTGTATGAGCTGAAGACTAGAATGTGGAAAAGGATTTGCAACAAAATTATTTTATATCATTACATTGATTGCAAAGAAATACCGCAATTTGCCAGATCAATAAAAACTGATAAATCGCATGTGAAATGAATCTTATAATTTCACTCCTCTTGACGTCATACAAAAATGGGCATTGTAAAATTGTTAATGCTGTTGCATCAAAAGGAACAGGGAATGTGTAGAAAAAGATATAGTTTCCCGTATTTTATACTTTATTTCCTCTATAAGCCCATGGTCAATGTAATAATAAGAATAACTAATCAAAGAAATCAAATATCAAACAAAAAATTCAAATCGTGACCAAACAACACTGATAATTAATTAACTCATGCACTACTAACATGAATATTGATGTTATAATTGAATTCTTCCATTAGTTATTCAAAAAAATAATTCTGAAGGTACCTTTTTGTGACTAAATATTGATGAGGTAAAAAAAGGGGGACTATTTCTTTTTGAATCAGAAATGTGAATGCCTTGAGTACGTATACATTTCAAGAAAGAGTTTTGCCAAATTTGTTTAATGACATTTCAATTTATTTTAAATTAATTTCATACATCATAAAATGTCAAACCAATAGAATTTAAAATTGACTTTATAAATCTGTGCTTAGACTGTTACAATGTGTAAATCCAATAGAATTCATATTATATATAACAGCAGTTTTGCTGAAAGAAGATATTTTGTTGTTCACAGTCAGAGGGGCATTAAAGCGGATGATAAAATAAAACTTTCTGTGCCAAAACATTTGAATGAGTGCACACCATATTATTCTCTAAAAATTCACAAGGAAAAAGAAAACATTTCATGTATAATGAAATAGATATACATTACACTTTTGATATAACTCGTACTGATGACCTTATTTTCTTTTCTTGGTAAATTTTGTTTCAGTCCCAACTTTTGATTTCTATAAAATGAACAATAACTGTAACCATGGTAAAATATAACAAATGAAAGACAATTATAACGTGATCAAAATTTTTGGCAATAACAATTTATACGTATCATACATGTACCTGTATTTGACAAACTAGCGGCAGTATAATTGGTTTACACAACAAGGTATATAATACAACCACTTACAACAAGATGGTTCTGAGTATTTCCGTGTTTACATTTTTTTACCAGTGTGTCTCTATCATGTCTATTCAGATATCTCATCTTTCTGGTTAGGTATATATATGAATGAAGCATTGTACACTTAATTCAAAGATTTGTGTTCTTCACTTGGAATTAACTTTTAAAAATCTTAACTCAGGCCATCAAGAGTTCAAAACTAAAGATGGCTCAATCACTCCAGGTGTAGAGTTTGTGACAGATAATTGGCAGTTTTCTTGAAGAGTTTATCAATCGGACCATCAGTTTTCTTCAAATTCGAGTTCAAGAGTTCATCAACCTGACTATCAACAACAGACAATGCAATCAACACCTGAGCAGCATAATATGTCAGCATGATTATCTGGTGTGCACATGGTACATCAAAACAAAACTTATCCACTGCTATTGTAAGATCAGACAGGACAAAGAACATAGCTCCTATACAACCAAACAGCTTGCCCCAAGTCGTCCACAAATCGTCCAATAACTGGAATCTAGCTACCGCTCTACATCCCATTATGCAAACAAGCGTAATGAATATGGCCACTAAATACATGTAGGACACCATGTCGCCCACATATGCACTTAAAAGATAGTACACTGCTGACCCAAGAACTGCAGTCAATCCGCCAACATACAGGTTCAAAGGTTTCCATCCAAAAGCATGTGCGTATTCAATTTGAGCAATTGCAAACAGGACTAACCCAAATGGAAGTTCAAAGTTCGTGGTTTTAGAAAGCAGACAGAAAATAGCTGCAAAACAACCACATAGCTTGCACCAAGTTCTCAAATCATCAAATATCTGGACTCTTGCTACTGCTCTCCAGGCCATAGTGCAAATAAGCGTGATATATAGGGCCACTAGATAGGACATTATGCCGTCCAAATTTGAACTTAAAAAGTAGTAAACGGCTGCCCCAAGTATTGCGAACGTTCCGCCAGCATACAGATTGAAAGGTCTCCAACCAAAAGCACGTGCGTATTCTGTTTGGGCAACAGCAAACATGAGTAATCCAAGTTCAAAGTTCATGCCTTTATGTTTCCATACCAAAAATACATCACCGAAGCAAGAAAATATAAGTCCAATCAAGATTCTCCTGGAATACCTGTAATACGATTCTGACAAGCTCATCCCATCAAGTAATATAAATAAGATTAGCGATATGACAGGAAGACATTTCAGTATACAATAAACTATCCCGCAGGCTGCTGGTTCGTTGCCATACAGAACGAAGAAAATAGCACAAGTCTTGAAGAAAGGAACCAACTTTGGACCAACACTCTTCAACTGAAAAAAAAAAAAAAAATAAAATTGAGATAATATATTAATTATAATCACGTTTGGGTAATTAAACCATCCCATGAAAGGTGACAGTCATCGCAGACATTAAAACAGTTGTGTAATTAAACCATCCCACGTGAGGTGATGGTCATCGCAGACATGATATCAGTTGTGTAATTAAACCATCCCACGTGAGGTGACGGTCATCGCAGACATGATATCAGTTGTGTAATAAAACCATCCCACAAGAGGTGACAGTCATCGCAGACATGATATCAGTTGTGTAATTAAACCATCCCACTAGAGGTGACGGTCATTGCAGACATGATATCAGTTGTGTAATTAAACCATCCCACGAGAGGTGACAGTCATCGCAGACATGATATCAGTTGTGTAATTAAACCATCCCACGAAAGTGACGGTCATCGCAGACATGTATCACTTGTGTAATTTAACCATCCCAAGAGAGGTGACGGTCATCGCAGACATGATATCAGTTGTGTAATTAAACCATCCCACAAGAGGTGACGGTCATCGCAGACATGATATCAGTTGTGTAAATAAACCATCCCACAAGAGGTGACGGTCATCGCAGACATGATATCAGTTGTGTAATTAAACCATCCCACGAGAGGTGACGGTCATCGCAGACATGATATCAGTTGTGTAATTAAACCATCCCAAGAGAGGTGACGGTCATCGCAGACATGATATCAGTTGTGTAATTAAACCATCCCACGAGAGGTGACGGTCATCGCAGACATGATATCAGTTGTGTAATGAAACCATCCCACGAGAGGTGACGGTCATCGCAGACATGATATCAGTTGTGCAATTAAACCATCCCACAAGAGAGGACGGTCATCGCAGACATGATATCAGTTGTGTAATTAACCCATCCCAGGAGAGGTGACGGTCATCGCAGACATGATATCAGTTGTGTAATTAAACCATCCCAGGAGAGGTGACGGTCATTGCAGACATGATATCAGTTGTGTAATTAAACCATCCCACGAGAGGTGACGGTCATCGCAGACATGATATCAGTTGTGTAATTAAACCATCCCAGGAGAGGTGACGGTCATCGCAGACATGATATCAGTTGTGTAATTAAACCATCCCACAAGAGGTGACGGTCATCGCAGACATGATATCAGTTATGTAATTAAACCATCCCACGAGAGGGTCATCGCAGACATTATATCAGTTGTGTAATTAAACCATCCCACGAAAGTGACGGTCATCGCAGACATGTATCACTTGTGTAATTTAACCATCCCAAGAGAGGTGACGGTCATCGCAGACATGATATCAGTTGTGTAATTAAACCATCCCACGAGAGGTGACGGTCATCGCAGACATGATATCAGTTGTGTAAATAAACCATCCCACGAGAGGTGATGGTCATCGCAGACATGATATCAGTTGTGTAAATAAACCATCCCACCAGAGGTGACGGTCATCGCAGACATGATATCAGTTGTGTAAATAAACCATCCCAAGAGAGGTGAAGGTCATCACAGACATGATATCAGTTGTGTAATTAAAACCATCCCAGGAGAGGTGACGGTCATCGCAGACATGATATCAGTTGTGTAATTAAACCATCCCACGAGAGGTGACGGTCATCGCAGACATGATATCAGTTGTGTAATTAAACCATCCCACGAGAGGTGACGGTCATCGCAGACATGATATCAGTTGTGTAATTAAACCATCCCAGGAGAGGTGACGGTCATCGCAGACATGATATCAGTTGTGTAATTAAACCATCCCAGGAGGGGTGACGGTCATTGCAGACATGATATCAGTTGTGTAATTAAACCATCCCACGAGAGGTGACGGTCATCGCAGACATGATATCAGTTGTGTAATTAAATCATCCCACGAGAGGTGACGGTCATCGCAGACATGATATCAGTTGTGTAATTAAACCATCCCACGAGAGGTGACGGTCATCGCAGACATGATATCAGTTATGTAATTAAACCATCCCACGAGAGGTGACGGTCATCGCAGACATGATATCAGTTGTGTAATTTAACCATCCCACGAGAGGTGACGGTCATCGCAGACATGATATCAGTTGTGTAATTAAACCATCCCACGAGAGGTGACGGTCATCGCAGACATGATATCAGTTGTGTAATTAAACCATCCCACAAGAGGTGACGGTCATCGCAGACATGATATCAGTTATGTAATTAAACCATCCCACGAGAGGGTCATCGCAGACATGATATCAGTTGTGTAATTAAACCATCCCACGAAAGTGACGGTCATCGCAGACATGTATCACTTGTGTAATTTAACCATCCCAAGAGAGGTGACGGTCATCGCAGACATGATATCAGTTGTGTAATTAAACCATCCCACGAGAGGTGACGGTCATCGCAGACATGATATCAGTTGTGTAAATAAACCATCCCACGAGAGGTGACGGTCATCGCAGACATGATATCAGTTGTGTAAATAAACCATCCCACGAGAGGTGACGGTCATCGCAGACATGATATCAGTTGTGTAAATAAACCATCCCAAGAGAGGTGAAGGTCATCACAGACATGATATCAGTTGTGTAATTAAAACCATCCCAGGAGAGGTGACGGTCATCGCAGACATGATATCAGTTGTGTAATTAAACCATCCCACGAGAGGTGACGGTCATCGCAGACATGATATCAGTTGTGTAATTAAACCATCCCACGAGAGGTGACGGTCATCGCAGACATGATATCAGTTGTGTAATTAAACCATCCCAGGAGAGGTGACGGTCATCGCAGACATGATATCAGTTGTGTAATTAAACCATCCCAGGAGAGGTGACGGTCATTGCAGACATGATATCAGTTGTGTAATTAAACCATCCCACGAGAGGTGACGGTCATCGCAGACATGATATCAGTTGTGTAATTAAATCATCCCACGAGAGGTGACGGTCATCGCAGACATGATATCAGTTGTGTAATTAAACCATCCCACAAGAGGTGACGGTCATCGCAGACATGATATCAGTTGTGTAATTAAACCATCCCACGAGAGGTGACGGTCATCGCAGACATGATATCAGTTGTGTAATTTAACCATCCCACGAGAGGTGACGGTCATCGCAGACATGATATCAGTTGTGTAATTAAACCATCCCACGAGAGGTGACGGTCATCGCAGACATGATATCAGTTATGTAATTAAACCATCCCACGAGAGGTGACGGTCATCGCAGACATGATATCAGTTGTGTAATTTAACCATCCCACGAGAGGTGACGGTCATCGCAGACATGATATCAGTTGTGTAATTTAACCATCCCACGAGAGGTGACGGTCATCGCAGACATGATATCTAACCCTAAGTTGTGATTATAAGGTAAAAATTAAAACAATTATTTTTGTTTACCTTAATAGTTGATCAAACTACATGAGCATTGTACATGTTGTCAGTGTTCTCCCCAGATATTTCATTTAGCATCCTGGTAAACAGGGGAATTTGAAATACCATCTTGTTTCTAAAAATTATAGCATCACATCCATAACACAATCTATAAGAAAACCACTTCACATAGCATCACATTTAAGATTATTGCACCACATCCATAACATATAATCTATAACATAATAATCTCAGATAGCATCACATTACCATGATGCTAAAAGGCCCTGGGGAGAACACTGTTTGTTTGTGGAGAGAAAGAGAAATACATATGCAATGGCATTTAGGAAAACTAATAACTCCCCCCATATGTACACGTGGAGAGAAAGAGAAATACAATGTACATATGCAATGGCATTTAGGAAAACTAATAACTACCCCCATATGTACACGTGGAGAGAAAGAGAAATACATATGCAATGGAATTTAGGAAAACTAATAACTCCCCCCATATGTACACGTGGAGATAAAGAGAAATACATATGCAATGGAATTTAGGAAAACTAATAACTCCCCCCATATGAATGCAACCCTCCAAAGTCAGGAACCTTGTCAGTGGTTGTTGTATGTTATATCTTAATAGGATTTTTTAATTTGGAAATTTTGGTGTATCTGCAGACCATTGATTGTTTCAGCTGAATTCAATGAAAACTTTACTACAGACGATATTAAGAGCATCCTATATATTGCCCTATATTTGTTTTTTCAGTGTTGTTGGACTGTATACAAATGTTGCCCTATATTTTTTTTCAGTGTTGTTTGACTGTATACATATGTTGCCCTATATTTGTCTTTTTAGCGTGTTGGACTGTATACATATGTTGCCCTATATATGTCTTTTCAGTGTTGTTTGACTGTATACATATGTTGCCCTATAGATGTCTTTTCAGTGTTGTTGGACTTTATACATTTGTTGCCCTATATTTGTTTTTTCTCAAGTGTTGGACTGTATACATATGTTGCCCTATATATGTCTTTTCAGTGTTGTTGGACTTTATACATTTGTTGCCCTATATTTGTTTTTTCTCAAGTGTTGGACTGTATACATGTGTTGCCCTATATTTGTCTTTTTAGTGTTGTTGGACTGTTTACATGTGTTGCCCTATATTTGTCTTTTTAGTGTTGTTAGACTGTATACATATGTTGCCCTATATTTGTCTTTTGGGTGTTGTTGGACTGTATACATATGTTGCCCTATATTTGTCTTTTGAGTGTTGTTGGACTGTATACATGTGTTGCCCTATATTTCTCTTTTCAATATTGTTGGACTATACATATATTGCCCTATGAATGTCTTTTCAGTGTTGTTGGACTCTATACATGTGTTGCCCTATATTTGTCTTTTAAGTGTTGTTGGACTATATACATATGTTGCCCCATAGGTGTCTGTTTAGTGTTGTTAGACTGTATACACATGTTGCTCTATATTTGTCTTTTCAGTATTGTTGGACTGTATACATATGTTGCCCTATAGATGTCTTGTCAATGTTGATGGAGTGTATACATATGTTGCCCTATATTTGTCTTTTCTGAGTTGTTGGACTGTATACATATGTTGCCCTATATTTGTCTTTTTA